AACATATATCTGTTTATTCATGTTCAGGCCTTTTTGGAGATCTAAGCATTTCACAGCTTGTCTGTCAGTCGCCTTAATTATGAAATTATGAAGGATTTGTTTGCTTTAATTACAACATCATGTATAATTTAGAATTTGTATACTTTTTGTATACCTAACAATTATAGTACCTACTGAATAATTTATAGCGATTACCAAATAATTAATAATACATATTGAATAATTCATAGTAATTACAGAATAATTTAGAGGAGACACTGAATAATTTATAGTAAATAATTCATTGTAGTTCATTAAACATTCATAGTAATTATTGAATAATTCATAGTAATTACTAAATTTGTAACTAATTTGTAGTAGTTTCTGAATAATTTGTAGTAATTTTTGAAAGATTTGTAGTAGCATCTGAAAAATTGTAGTAATGTCTGAATAATTTGTAGTAGTTTCTGAATACTTTGTAATTTCTGAACAATTTTTAGTAATTTCTGAAAAATTTGTAGTAATTTCTAAATGGTTTCTTGTAATTTCTAAATAACTTGTGGTCATTTCTGAATGTTTTGTTGTAGTTTTTAAATAATTTGTGGTAATTTCTGAATGTTTTGTTGTAGTTTTTAAATCATTTGTGGTCATTTCTGAATGATTTGTTGTAGTTTTTAAATCATTTGTGGTCATTTCTGAATGATTTGTTGTAGTTTTAAATAATTTGTGGTCATTTCTGAATGATTTGTTGCAGTTTTTAAATAATTTGTGGTCATTTCTGAATGATTTGTTGCAGTTTTTAAATAATTTGTGGTCATTTCTGAATGATTTGTTGCAGTTTTTAAATAATTTGTGGTCATTTCTGAATTTGTTGTAGTTTCTGTGTGATTCAAAGTAGTATCTGAATAACTGAGTAAAACACCTGCAGTGAGAGTGAATTATAATTATGAAGATATCTCCTGTTCTAAAATCTGATTGGCTGAGTCATGTTCAAATCTGATTATGATGCTTGGCAACCATAACCTACTACAGATTAAAGGTTTGTTGTGAAAAAGTATTAATAATAAATAATGTGTGTACTTTAAATATCACATTGTTCAACACATCAATGATTCTGATGTTGAAGATCAATAAGGCTGTATGTGTCACCTTCATCTGAACACTCAGCGTACACTGAGAGGTTCTGTTAGACTGACCGCTGAACACTGAGAGGGTTCTGTTAGACTGACCGCTGAACACTGAGAGGGTTCTGTTAGACTGACCGCTGAACACTGAGAGGTTCTGTTAGACTGACCGCTGAACACTGAGAGGGTTCTGTTAGACTGACCGCTGAACACTGAGAGGTTCTGTTAGACTGACCGCTGAACACTGAGAGGGTTCTGTTAGACTGACCGCTGAACACTGAGAGGTTCTGTTAGACTGATCACTGAACACTGAGAGGGTTCTGTTAGACTGACTGCTGAACACTGAGAGAGTTCTGTTAGACTGACTGCTGAACACTGAGAGGTTCTGTTAGACTGACTGCTGAACACTGAGAGGTTCTGTTAGACTGACCGCTGAACACTGAGAGAGTTCTGTTAGACTGACTGCTGAACACTGAGAGGTTCTGTTAGACTGACCGCTGAACACTGAGAGAGTTCTGTTAGACTGACTGCTGAACACTGAGAGGTTCTGTTAGACTGCTGAACACTGAGAGGGTTCTGTTAGACTGACCGCTGAACACTGAGAGGGTTCTGTTAGACTGACTGCTGAACACTGAGAGGTTCTGTTAGACTGCTGAACACTGAGAGGGTTCTGTTAGACTGCTGAACACTGAGAGGTTCTGTTAGACTGACTGCTGAACACTGAGAGGGTTCTGTTAGACTGACCGCTGAACACTGAGAGGTTCTGTTAGACTGCTGAACACTGAGAGGGTTCTGTTAGACTGCTGAACACTGAGAGGGTTCTGTTAGACTGCTGAACACTGAGAGGGTTCTGTTAGACTGCTGAACACTGAGAGGTTCTGTTAGACTGCTGAACACTGAGAGGGTTCTGTTAGACTGCTGAACACTGAGAGGGTTCTGTTAGACTGACTGCTGAACACTGAGAGGGTTCTGTTAGACTGCTGAACACTGAGAGGTTCTGTTAGACTGCTGAACACTGAGAGGGTTCTGTTAGACTGCTGAACACTGAGAGGGTTCTGTTAGACTGACTGCTGAACACTGAGAGGGTTCTGTTAGACTGCTGAACACTGAGAGGTTCTGTTAGACGGACTGCTGAACACTGAGAGGTTCTGTTAGACTGCTGACACTAAGAAGGTTCTGTTAGACTGACTGCTGAAGACTGAGAGGGTTCTGTTAGACTGACTGCTGACACTGAGAGGGTTCTGTTAGACTGCTGAGTCTGGGAAGGTTCTGTTAGACTGCTGACACTGAGAGGGTTCTATTAGACTGCTGACACTGAGAAGGTTCTGTTAGACTGCTGAACACTGAGAGGGTTCTGTTAGACTGACTGCTGAACAACGAGAGGGTTCTGTTAGACT